AATTTTTATATTTGAAACTGTCGCTATCAAATATTGCCCTATCATGTTTTCCCTGGTTATTTAAGGTTTCTTTCATGAAATAAATGTTTTGCCATCTCAGCTTTCGGTCTATATTTTTTTATTGAACCAATGTACTGTGTAAAAATTACTATTAAATCTACATCTTGACCTATGTTGTGTACATCCACAGCAAAATTTTAAATAGCATTTTAAAGAGCTGTACTAATTATTGGACAATCAGTATCTTCGTCGACGATTTTAAATAAAAACCTGCATTTTGTAAAGCCGATTTTAATAATTTAATCTGTCTTTTGTTATTTTCATTGCTTAAAAATTCTTTTTTGGAATGCTGATTTACAAATGAAAACTTTAATTACTGGAATGAGCTAAAAACAAACGACGATCTTTTAGAAAGTGAATCCTACATTTACCTACAAAACCGTTTTTGAATCACTATAATATTGTTCGCGATTTTAATAAAGTAAGATGTTATTTGAATTAAATGGTCGAAAAATATGAACACATATAGTGTAAAATATAATTACTACCCAAAATTTGGGTTTTAAAAAATGTGTTTTTTAAGAAATTCTTGAACAAATATAAACTATGTTTATTGATAATTTGTTCACTTTAATATATTTTATGAAGTTATACATTTATTAGTAATTTTAACCCCTAACAATTTAATATTTTACAAAAAAAATTTTCTCGTAAAATGTTTAAACAAATCAGATAGTTTATTTAACTAATTACTAATTAAAAAGTTGCATATTCATATTGTACGCTATGAGTTATTACAATTTAAAAGTAGAATTATCAAAATCCATTAAAAAGTTCCAGAGATACACTTTCTATATCATGCTAATATTTGAGTACAATTTATGAACTCTTAAATTTTTTGGCTCCAAAAGTTTTATTCTGAACAGACAAAATTTTAGCAGCGTTTTTGAAGCTCCACCAGTTATTGTGTTTAATTGCTACCATTCTAATTTTTTATATACAATAAATTTACTTTCTTTTGTTCAAAATGGCATTTTTATGTTCGTTAATTATTACAAACAAATAGGTTATAAGCATTTAAAAAAAATTGCCAACTTTGGTCCATGTCAAGCTAGGACCAATTTTTTAAATTTAAAATGAGCGTGAAAATGTCAGCTATTTAGCTAATAAAAAATTACTATTTTACAAGCAATGACAAAAAAGTGATATTCACTTATATAACAATTCCAATTTTGCAAAAACTATTAGACCGATTGACTTAAAATTTTAAGCAATTATTGAATACTAAAAACTACATCTTTTTACAAAGTAACCAAGTCGTAGGTTATTTTTTAAAAAAATTGTCGATTAGTTAATAACTTATCAAATTTAACAGTTTCTTGCAATTTTCGTAACAACAAATAAGTATTCTCAATTTTAAAAACCGTCATTTTTAGGGTTTTTGTATACACTTCAAACTACTTATTCCAAATTTTATATCAACTATCTTGATTTTGAAATAGAGCCAAAAAGTAGAAAATAGAAGTTTTTTGCACTTAATTGTTAATAACTTTCATTTTGCAGCGTAATTTTGGTTGGTAATAACTATTAGGTTTTATTATTGGATTCCAAAAACACCAGAAACACTAGGTGGCTATCTGTTACTTTGGATGGTCACAAAAACCTCCATTTCCCTAGTCTATTATACTAGGAAAGCAAACCTATAAAAGATTTCTATAAGTAATAATTTGGATAATAACCAGTATTATTTCCACAGTTTAGCAACATTAAACTTGTACATAGTTTGTAAAAGAAAAATACTTTTTAACGAGATGTTTTAAAGTTTCAAAATTGTGTTAACTTAAGTAGGTTTTAAGTAGTGAAAGTTTTTAAAAGGTACCGAAATATATTGGACTACATGAATTTTTTATCGAGATACTGATTTGAATTGTGAATTATGTAAACAAATAGACTAGAATATTTTAATCTATACTTTTTTAATAAATGATGGCATCCTTTAATTAATATATTATTTTTTTGAAATAAATAAAAAGTACAAAAAACTATTTTTGTTTGATTTTTTTTATTTGCAAATACATTGTTTTCTTGTTTAAGTACCCACTATTTACGTTTCCTATAAGAAAATGTACATTTTGTGGTAGGTGTCTTTTAAATAAGTGTAAACATTTAGTAATTATTAAAAACATAAAAGTTTATACGATTTCCAATATCCTTTTCCAATACTACCTCCTATAGTCTTATACGCCGTTTTTGGGAAATATTTATTGACATTTGCCACTTCGGTTTTGTCATTTGCAACGGATTTTTATAGTTTTGTCCTGCAATCGATTAAATTGAAAACTTAGCTAGATGATGTATTAAATTATAGAGAAGTAACAGCGCTGAAAATAGCAACATATTAAATATATGTAACTTTAAGTTAAGTCTTTACCTAATTTAATATTTTCATACCTTAGAGTTCATATTATTCTGTAGGATGTTATTTTCATTAAATTTTCCATTACATTTAAGAATTAATTTAGGTCGAAGGTTTGCTTTCAATGCTTCGTAGGAAGTGCCTAACACGAAAGTATGAGAATTTCGGAAACATACACTAGCTTTTCATTTATTAATAAATATATTTTAGTAACGCTTATTTTAATGCGCAATAAAAATAATATCAGGCAAATACGAATGTGGCCAAAACGATAGATAGTATTTTTAAAAATATGTAAATATACATATGTATTATGGTTTAAAACTTGACTAATTTTTACAACACTACACTACACTCAGATGTACTCAGTGGCGCTCCATATTGCATAGGCTCCCTAGCTAAAATTAATGATTTAAGATAAAATTTTGCAAACCATTTAAATAACGACTTTTTTTTCCTTAACAAAAAGGAACCGATTAGAAATTTCAAAATCTAGTCGCATTTGACATATGAAATAAATGTACTCAATCTAATAAATATTCGATTTTTGGTAATATTTGTCTATGATCGCTATAAATTTGAAATATTAAGGAAAACACATTTTGTAATTTTTTATGGCATGATTGGCGTTTGAACCTTCAACGGTAATATATTTATAATACAGATTTCATAACTTAACGGCTTGAGTAACAATTAATTAACATGATATGCCATCTTGTGTGCCGGCCAATTAGGGTTAACAAATGTTTTTAGCTTTTTTTAGAAAATTCTAATATTTTAAAAAGGCTATTCGGTTTGGAATTCGAAACGTCATTGTAAAAAAATGTAATTTTAATTATAATTAATCTGGCTTATTCCCATAAATATATTTTCTGTTACTTTTGAGTATTTCAGTTTTTCTTGTTTCAATACTATTTACAAATTCAGCCAGAAAAAAAAATAAATTATGTATTAATATTTATTTAGTTATCGCACCTAACGCATAATATATCTTAAATAATCATTTTTTAAAATACGTACTTCTGCCGGAGCTAAAATATACGAATATATAATAGATAATGAAGATAATGGCAACATCGCAGGACGCTCTATCGTCTATTAAATGAACGCAAAGTGTATATAGGGACGCTTTATTGGCGGTTAGATGGATGATTTTTATATACACTAGGACGCCTTATTGGCGGGAAATGTGATGGACGCTCCATTGATGATCAAATGTACAATTATCAGTTTTTTCTTGCAAAACATTTTTGAAACATATTACTCATATAGAGTATATTACTTGTATAGGAGAAAAAAAGCTGTTTTTACTGTTTTTTAAAAATCGGACGCTCTATACATGGAGAGTGTAAAGACGCTCTAATGATAGCGGGATGTATATATATATATATATATATATATATATATATATATATATATATATATATATATGAGTAAGAAAAAAGAAGTACTTGTGACTCGTTTGGAAAAAATATAACACTGTTTTTGATGGGTTGGAGTCAATAAAAGGGGCTATTTGTTGACTATTTTTTACTCGAGCTTTCAATTGTGATTACAATGTTTATCAAGAGCTTCTAAAAAATACAAAATGTCTTACAAAGTTGAACTAGAAATAAAAAATGTTTTGTTAACTCACCAAATAAAATTAGTTTTTTGTATAAAACTACTGCTTACATATTAAATACAAAAAATATTAATAAAAAAAATAATAAATAAATATGTTTTTTTGAAGCTCTTGATAAAAATTGTAATCACAATTGAAAGCTCGAGTAAAAAATAGTCAACAAATAGCCCCTTTTATTGACTCCAACCCATCAAAAACAGTGTTATATATATATATATATATATATATATATATATATATGTATATATATATATGTATATATATATATATATATATATATATATATATACAAGATAAACATTTTGCTTCCCAGCTTTTGTTCTTTGCTTTCCTTATTCCTTTTTTCCATCGTATGTTACTCTATCGTAAAGTTTTCTGTTTTCCGGATCTTTTGTTGATAAACATTTTAACTACATTTTTAGATCGAGTGGATCTTGTTCTCGTTCCACTAATCATTTTTCTTTCTTTTTTGCTTAACTTTTTTTCCAAGGGCTTCCATTGCAACTTCGTGTATACGTTCTTTTAAGAAACGATACCACTCTAGCGTTCTTCCTTAACTTTTACGGGATCTTATTTGCTAGTCGAAGTTTATGAAAACTCACGTAGATGCTTCTTTATGACTATATAGAGATTATATTGTGGTTCTAGATGGACGTTGCCTAAGGTGACTTCCTAATTTCTATTCACAAAAACTTCAGGTAGAATATAGCTTTTCCGTTAAAGAATCTGTGATCTGATCCACCTAGGGCTCCATGGTACACTCTCGCTTCGTTCTATTTGATTTTTGTAATATGTTTAACTACTATATATGTAATCAATAAGCGATTTTAATTTTATAGTGGGCTAGAATGGGTTTTGAATATGTTTATGCTTCAATAATCTATTTAAAATATTTAAGTTATACTCAGTACAAACTTCAAATACTCTTTAGGTACAAGTTCAAAATATTTTTCATTTTAGGTCAAAAAGTACACCTTTTGCTGGACGAAAAGTATCCTTTACCTGCACTGCCAGTACCACCCGATTTACCGAGAGCACACATCCGAGTATGCGTTAACGGTTTATCCGACATAACGTGTTTGCCTTTGTTAACTAAACTCTTGCAGCACAAAAATGTTATAGTTGTTGAGCTACAGGACGCCGTAAATTATTGTATGAGTGCTTATAAACACGAAATAGCTGTAACTAAGGAAGAAGAAGACAAAGATGATGCTGTGGAAGAGAAAATTATAAAAGTGAAGAAAGAGAAAGTTATTAAAGGAAAAAAAGGAAAAGCTCAAAAAAGACCTAAAAAGGATGATCTTAAACCCAGTGTTGAGCATGTAGATAAGTTGGTCCAAACGCCAAGAATTTTTCCGTCCGAAGAAATAATTTTGTCGCCGTATGCAGAACTAGGGAGAATAGCTGAAGAAGAGTTGTCAAAAGGAAATGTACTAACAGATTATTTGTTGGTTTCAATGTTTATGGAATATTTAAGATCAAAACCTGATATAGAAGGTCAGTAGGATAGTAGCTCTTTACCTCTTTTATTGTACATTGACACAAAACGTATGAGGCTTCGTATTCACCATTGCCCGCTCGGCTATCAATATCTTTATTAGTCAGGGAAAATGTATTCAAATTTACATACCGGTTAAATCCTTTCAAAATTTAGATTTACCTTGATAAAATATGATATTTAAAAGGTTTAGAGGAAAATCTCAATTATAGAGTATTATTTACTATTTTTATTGGGAATAAGGCACAATTTTATTTTAAAATAAGTTTATTTTGATGTTTCAATTTCCACTTCCACGCTCTTAAAATATAAAATATTAACATTTCCGGAGTAGAAATCAAAACTTTAAAATAAACTTACTTTAAAGTAAGATTGTGGCTTATTTCTAATAAAAATACTAAATTGAATTAACTTTTAAGTCATATCGTTCTCTTACTAGGACACAACTTTAATAATCATCATATTGCCGAAAAGCGACAATTTAACCTTACCAAATAACATATCAAATACAAACCTAATGGACGTCAGAAGTTACAGAGGTTCAAATATTGACTCAGACCATTTCATGGTAGGGGCCAAGTTACAAAAAAGATTTTCCAATGCCAAGAAAGAAAGGGGCTCTAGACAAGTTAAATATAATTTATATATGCTAAAAAATGAGCAAATGCCTGAAAAATGGAGCTTAGGCTTAATTTGCCATTTACAAAAAAGGCGAAACCAACTGGAATAATTACCGCGGAATAACTCTCTTAAATACAGCATACAAGATATTTATAAACATTTTGCACAAGAGATTGAAGCCTAATACCGAAACGTTTCTAGGAGAATATTAGGCAGGATTCAGGCGTGGACGTTCAACCATTAACCAGATCTTTACACTACGACAGATTCCCTAAAAAGCACAAGAGTTTAACATAGATATGTATCATATTTTTGTCGATTTTAAAGCGGAATATGATAGTGTCTTAAGACTAAGTCTTTACAACGCTATGAATGAGTTAGGAATTCCAAAAAAACTCATATGTTTGATATGACAATGGCGAAGATGCTATCAGCAGTAAAAATTCAAAACGACTCGTCAATTCCATTTGAAATACATAGGGGTTAAGGCAATGCGCTGGCGTGTCAGCTTTTTAATGTCGCCTTAGAAAAAGTTGTACGAGACGGTAATCTAGATAGCAGGGGAACAATATTTAATAGATCAGTCTAAATTCTAGCATATGCAGACGACGAGGACATTATAACAAGAACCAGGGCGAGAACTGCGGAAATTCTAACCCACCTAGTCGCAACAGCAGAACGAATGGGGTTACATATAAATCAAAATAAAACCAAATTCATGGCGACAACACAAACACAAGAGCTAGAAATGTTGACGCAGATTTAATCATCAATGACCAAAACTTAGAAGCGGTCAAAGAGTTCATATATCTAGGGACATCGGTTAATAACCCCAATAATAACACATCTGAGAAAATAAAAAGGCAAATAATAAATGAAAACAGGTGTTATCATGGTGTATCAAAGTACTTAGCTAACAAACGTCTGTCTCAAAAAACTCGTATAAGGCTGTATAGAACACTGATAGTCCCCGTTCTCACATATGGATCAGAGGCACGGACGCTAACTAAAACAGATGAATCCTCTCTATCGATTTTTGAAAGAAAGGTGATACGCAAGATATTCAGAGCGGTCTGTGAGAACGGAATATGGAGGCGTAAGTATACCTTTGAACTGCAGAATATCTACAAGCATACGTTTGGTGGTAAAGATATTACCACTATAATTAAGCAAAATCCACAAGGAAAAATTCCTGTAGCCGGCTGTATACCACGTATAACAAAAAGAGGTTAGTCTTTGTAAACGGGTATATTTATTTAAAAAACCCTTAAAAGGGCCACATCAATAAAACAAACGTTTTCGGACCACACAGTCCATCATCAGGTTTTTAAAATCAAAAATGCCTAAAAATAAGTATAAACCATTTAGTTAAAACAAACGAGATTGTGAAATTTTGACTATGGTTGAAAAGCAAAAGATGGTTATACTTACTAGGTCACAATGCCTGAGCCACCAAAATACTAGGGTAAAAATCCTTTAAATTACATTTAGTTATGAAAGATTGTACATTGTGTTGTAAAATAACTGTGATGTTCAGTATTAAATTAAATTTGACTAGAGGTAACACATGGCTCAATCGAGTTCCAGAGCCGGTGAGAGAGAACCTCTACACTCGGAGAACAGCTGGGAACTGATTGATAAGATACTTATGAAGGATGAAGATAACAGAATGTCAATGCAACAAAAACTATAATAGTTGTACATAGTATTACTACAGCCAAAAGATTCAACAAGTTTTGATGATTTTAAAAAAATAACAACAATCTAGGTGTTGGGATTTAAAAAACTTTTTTATTTATTAATTTAGGGTATAAAAGATGTGAAACCAATGTTGGTTTTATAGTCATGATTAATAGAATGACCTGTGCCTTAGGCAACTTTTTTTTTTTTATATAATTAAGCGAAACTACCTGCAGTGGGCAGGACCCCTGAATCGCACATGATAAAAAAGATTCTAATAGCGCAACCCGTGGGAATGGGAAGACGGGGTAGACCAAAGTTGAGGTGGATGGACGGGGTAGCACAAGATGCCGAGAAGATCGGAGTCGGCAACTGGAAAATACAAGCAAGAGACAAAACGGAATGGCGTAGAAAGCTTGAGAAGGTCGAGGCACTCTAAGGGCTGCAGCACCAAGATGATGATGAAATAACATGTTTCCTATGGAAGAACAGTGTAATGGTATTTACTCATTTATGACGGTGCTTCCTATGAGCAAACGCAGTACCAATGACATAAAGTTGATTACTTCAAGTTTCGCGCTAACTGTCCAACCTTCAAACACGTGTAAATTTGTGATTAGTTTACACGTAGAATGAAAAGCTGAACATCGACGTCCTTCAAGAAGGACCAACGTACTTCACGGCAAAAATTGTGAGAGTAACATTTTTCGTTTTAGTTTATTCTAGTTTTGATTTATTTGTAATTTACTTTGTCATCATTATCTGGGCATAATTTATATTAGACTATTTATAAAAGGAGCTGTTATGAGTCAAACTGTTGAGATGCCAAAAAGTAAGAAGCATGGTCATGATGAAATGATTTGATAATAAACCAGTGATTGTCGCATCTAACTTTGTTGGTATAGGACAACTAGGTAATTGCCAAATATCATACAAAAAATAATAAACAATATATATATCGATGTACTTTAACCCAGCGGCGCACCCAGGGTGTGTTTTGGGGTTAAACCCCCCTCTCTAGGACACTATTCCAACACTGTTGCTCACAAATTTCAAGGACTCAAAATGGAGGTGCATAAAAAAAAATTCGGTGCCCAACCAAAACCCCCCACAGGAAAATTCTGGATGCGCCACTGCTTCAACCTGAGGCTGTTAGGTTGTAGAGCCAAAACATGGAAGGAGTTGATAAGCTTGATTTTTTACTTATATTATTTTTACGTATATATAGATCGTACGTTTTGTGAACCAACTGCTTGCATATGTATGATGAAACATAATTTCCATGTGTGATAATTCAATATATTTCCGTTTCTACCACTTTTTTGGGGTTTTACTATGACTACCTAAAGTAACTTTGTACTTGTAGGAGGACATTCAGTAAATCAAAAACCAAAAAGGCTAAAGCAAAATGGCATGTTTTAAAAATATTCAAAAAAATAATACAAAAAGACTGGACTAAAGTATTATAGATTTATGTTATTGATATTGTTTTTATAAATTTTTAACATAGAGAGCTTTATCTTTTTTAAATTTAGAGTACTCTAAAGACTTCTTAATTATTTTTGTTTCACTCTGTGTAGGATGGGTATTGATCAACTACCCAACGAATATTGAACAAGCCATTCTCCTTGAAGAGACTCTTTCTGGACTCAAAGTTCCAGGATTACCCGAATCCAACAGGATCTGCAAAAGTTTGATTGATATTGTCTATATTTGCGACCCAGAAGAAGAAGTTGAAGAAGATGAACGCAGGTTTTCCAAGTTGGTGACGGATCCTACACAACCATTAGAACCCCCTCCTTACGATACAGTTCTGACAGCGTTTGTAAACATTTGTCCAGGTATTTATGATTAGGATTAAGACTTACTTATTGTATTAATAAAATATACCATAAAAACTTCTCGTAGACACTTAGAAAATATTTTAATCTTCTAAATTCAAAACCATAGCAGGAGTAAATAATGAAGTCAAAACAAATAAACCGAATCTTTTACCATCGAGAAAATTAGAAACTTATGTGAAAGAAAAATACATAAAGTATTATATTTTTAGTTTATTTAAAAAAAAAAAAAAAAAAAAAAAAAAAAAAAAAAAAAATAAAGTATTATAGTCCGGCATGTGGATACCTTTCTGTATAAGCTAGGTAGCTACGAATATGTAGCCCCCCCCACCATCTCAATAAGTGGTACGAATTGTTATAAACAATTTTTTATAAATGAATTTTCAAATTTAATAATTTTGATTTATAACCAGTTCCATTATAAAGTACGGCTAAAATACATTAAAAATATTATATATGTTATACACAAAAAGTTGATAGTTTGGTTATGGTTATGGTATATCGGGGCAGGGCCCATTTCTGAGCCTTTCAGGCACTTAGTCCTCCTAAGACGGATCTATTGTATCACCCCTATTATACGGACTAGGTCAATAAACCGTCTTTGGCGTTTCTGGGGCCCAGGCTGCTCCGGACTCCCATATCTGTTATAATCAGCAAGGGTCCAAATCTGAGCTTTTCCTACAGTTCCGGCACAGGACATGTGAGGAGGTTTTCTCCTCCTCATTACACAGACTCCACCGTGGGCCATCCGTCAATCCAAGCAGATAAAGGTGCCGCCTGAGTCTAGTATCCGGTAAGCATACTGACCACTAGAAAGAAGAAGTTAGACTGTAAGATTTTATACCCATTATGTAACGCATGCCTAAACCTCTACAACTGACCGAGGAGCCCTGGAACCTATGCAAAGAAGCTCTTTGAGACTACCCTAATCATTACTGAAGGTCACTCCGATTACAGGTTCGGGTCCTACAGGCAGATTGGATGAGCCATGTCTTGCCAGGTGGTCGGCCCGTTCGTTCCCTTCCACGCCTCTGTGTAGTGATATCCATATTATATTAGCCCTATTGTTCAGCGCAGTATCAGCAAGATCTCTCTTGCACTTAAAAACTAGCTTAGAGCTGACTTCGGGTGCTTCCTTAGCGTTTAGCCCTTAGCGTTGCGTGACTATCAGAACAGATAAAGATGGTCCTGTCTGAGCAAGCTCTATCTATTATCTCCTGAGAACATACAAGGATTTTAAAGATGCCTAAAATGATGCATGGAAGCCGAGAATCTGGCCAAATTCAAAACCGATTTGAAAATCGAGATTATGTCTCCAAATGCGAGAATGTCCCATCCGCCTATTCATTGCCAACCAGTATCCAGAGCAGTTGAGACGATAGGCTGCCATCATGGCTTTTTGCTCTACAATAAGATGTAGAGGAGATAAATCCAGCAGAGTCTCAAGAGCCGCTGTGGGAGTGGTCCTCATGGCTCTTTAGATATCAACGCATGCCAATCGCTGGTGCTAAGCCAACTGGGCCTTAGCTGAAACCAATCTAGTCGGAGCCGTGGCACACATACGTGTGTATGATGCACTGTGTATTTGTGAGACAAAATTAAAGTTAATTTTGAAAAAACAAATTAAATGTAAATAGTAAAGTCGCACAATATAAACCTAAACTACACCCTAAAACTTCTTCTTCTTACGGTGCCTATCCGTTCCGGATGTTGGCGATCAACATGGCTATCCTAACTTTGCTTGCTGCTATTCTGAATAGTCTGGTTGTCGATGTATTAAACCACTTTCTCAGGTTTTGAAGCCAAGATATTCTTCTTCTCCCTGGTACTCTCTTTCCAAATACCTTACCCTGAAGAATGAGTTGCAACAAGCCGTATCTTTGTTCATTCCTCATAACATGGCCAAGATATTCTAGCTTGCGCTCTTTGATGGTGTTAATAATCTCGCATTCCTTGCCTATTCTGCGTAGGACCTCAACATTAGTCACACGATCCACCCATGAAATTCTTAAAATACGTCTGTAACACCACATATCGAATGCCTCGAGTTTTCTTAAAGAAGCTTCGGAGAGTGTCCAGGCCTCTACTCCGTAAAATAACGTTGAAAATACATAGCATCTAATGAGGGAGATTTTGGTAGCAAGTGGTAAAAGGTGACTTCTGAAAAAGGACTTCATCATTATGAACGCTATCTCGCTTTTGCTATGCGTTGTTTCACTGGAGTGATCCCATTGGCTGTTAATGTTGGTACCAAGGTATGTGTAGCTTTCCACTCTGTCAATTGGATGTTGGTTAACCAAAAGCTGTGTCTTGAATATTTCGCGCTTACTGACTACCATGTACTTTGTTTTCTTCGTATTAAGATCAAGTCCGTGTTCTCTACTTATATCTGATATACGCGACATTATTCTTTGCAAACCGTCCAGACTATCTGCAAAAACTACTGCGTCGTCGGCAAATCTAATATTGTTTAGACGCATTCCGTTGACTAATACACCTTCATGTAGTTCACCCAGCGCTTGCTCGAAGATATATTCAGAGTATATATTAAATAACACCGGGGACATAATGCCTCCTTGCCTTCCACCATCCATCCACCACATGTCATCCACTTTAATATTGGCTGTTTGGTTGTAATATAAATTATAGATGATTCTCGAGTCCCTATCATCTAACCCCACTTCTTTCAAGATGTTTATAAGTTTATCATGCTTTACTTTATCAAATGCCTTTTAGAGGGCTATAAAACAAATATACACATCACAGTTAACATCCCTGCATCTTTGTATAAGCACTTGGACAGCGAATAGAGCCTCTCGGGTGCCTAAGGAATCGAGGAATCCAAACTGCGTCAATGATACTTGTTCTTCGCATTTTTTATATATTCTGCCATGTATCACTTTCAAGAACGTTTTAAGTAAGTGGCTCATTAGGCTAATTGTTCTGTAGTCTTCACATGTCTTAGCATTTAGTTGTTTTGGTATGGTCACGAAGGTCGACTTTAACCAGCTTTGGGGTATTTTTCCAATTACGTATATGTTGTTGAATACAGTTATTATCCATTTTATTCCCTGTTCATCCATAAGTTTTAGGAATTCTGCACAAAACTCGTCAGGCCCTACAGATTTACCATCTTTAGTTCTTTTAATAGCTGACGTGACTTCTTCAATGGTAATCGGCGGTCCTGTTTGGCATTCAGTGTGTTCAATTGTATTCTGCCTTTCATCTGCAAAAGTTTCTTCCACATAATTCTTCCAAGTGTCTAGTTTTTCTTCCACAGTTAACAGTGGTTTGCCTTGATTATCTGCCAAACACCCAACTCTTCTATGTTTGTACAAGCCTGCGGCTTCTTTAACTTTTTTGTGCATATTAAATGTATCGTGTTTATGTTGCAATTACTGTATTTCCGCACACTGTTTTCTTAGATGTATATCCTTAGTTATTCTAATAGCTTTTTTGATCTTTTTATCGATTCTGTATCCGTTCTGTACCCTAAGACTAAAGATCCGTTAAAACCGTATTTTTACTTGTCGACAGTTCTTCAAATATTGGGAGAATTTGCTATTAAGTTTTCCAGCACAGAGGACCGTTTCAGTCAAAGTTTTCATCCCAAATAAAAAATAGTGACAAATTCGTGAAATATACTTTACGTGTCGATAAGGACTGAAGGCCGGTACGGCGATTTTCGGAAGAGCGTCGTTTGATATATTTGAATTCAAGCAACATCTAACGTTTTACTATAATAGAAGGGGTCAGTGTTAACGTTATTATTACTTTCGGATTTATTTGCACAAAATCGATGAGGGATTCTGTTGTCAGTAGCGAGTAAAATACGGCGACAAGACTTTAAAAGACGTCCTTCTAAAGTGGTTTGAAGATACTAACAGCGATAACAGTGATATACAATCAGAATGTGCTTTGCTATAGAGAGCCATAACGACTCAGAATCTGTGTTTGAGCGAAAGTGAAGATGAAGAAAGTGTAGAGTGTGAAAACAAAGAAAGCCAATTAAAGACAAATTATTTTTACGAGAAAAATAGATTCAAATAGTCCAAACAACTTGTAACTTTTAATAGCTGGAGACGACTATAAGAAAATATAATTGTATATAGTTATCTGGTTTATGTGAGACAGCAACAACTTGGTAAATCAACATTTATAAATTGTCATTCTAAACCTTTAAACGTGTTTTATTAGGTAGATAACTAAAATTTCTCCATTCTAATCACGATATTCGTGTGACTGATAACAAAAGCAGTAAAAATAGCGATAACTGAACAAATTTTATATGTATACTGCAACCTTTTCAACTATGAAAAGAAAAGAAATTTATCCAAAATAATAGAACTCACTAAGATGTACTTGGTCACAATAGCCACACCGATGACAGTAAAAAAAAAGAAAAAGATCAGTTCCCAGAAATTTTACAAGAAACACTAGAAAATGTAAATACTCGGATAACAATTATATTGATGGGAGAACCTAATGGAAGAACTGCAAGTAAGGATAGTAACAAAATAGTAGCCCATATGGACAAAATGCTTTGTCTGACAATGGAATAACACTTATTGATCTAACTATTTGTTAAGAATATGTATTGGTTTTTTTAGATATAGTATATGTAATTTTAGACCACATTTTAGATTTATGGTAAAGATCAGTATGTAAAATGGAACAATCAAACTAAAATTCTCTTAAAGATACCCAGTATTTCTTGTTAAAGATGGTAGTTTTTTTTATTTTTAATAGGTATCTAGTAGTTTCCCATTTATTCTCTTTTGATTATACTAATTTTTTTTTAGACATAGAACAAGAAACAGCAGAATGGACCGAATCTTCAAAGGAACAAATGTCATCATTTCTCAATGAGTCAGAGGAAGATTTGAACCTAAAACAGTTTTACTCAGATATGGGCTGTTATTATTCCTTGTACTACAAAAGCTTCGAATATTCCCCTGTCAAGCAGTTGGCAAAACTGATAATAGGAGATTACACTATTCCTCCAAAATCCTCCATAGAACTCTTCGGAGACGTTATCCGTTACATTGAATCCGATAAAGTTTCTTATAACAGACCGTTCAGATCTGTTAAGTCAGGAGAAAAAGTAGAACGCGAAAGAATCGAGAAAGTGTTTAAAAAAACTGAGGTTTCTTTAGCGTCATCTGAAATAGGTTTGTGACAAAAATACTTATTATATTTGTGCTACAAAAATTTAGGTCACTTTGAAGTTATGTTTGTTTTCCTGTTGTAAAAGTAGCAATATAGAATATGAGGCAGACGTATGGAACGATTGAAATTTTTCAGAAGCTGTCAAAATGCCCATCTTCATATTTTTTTCGTTTATTTACGATTACAATCTGGTCATAGATAAACAATAAGCAATTTTAATCTATCCTAAATTACTAAAGTTACTTAAAATCAAGAGTTTAGCCTATGGTGCTTCATTTAATCTAATCTATTAAATAATACACTAATGTTAATATAATAGGCCTCTCCCAAATCAATCCAGTGTCTTCTAATTTGCGCCACTTGCTTCCAGTTGTGTCCTCCTGTCTTCTTAATATCATCCGCCCATCTCATTTGTGATCTTCCTCTGCTTCTCTTTACTAACCATGGTCTCCATTATTGTATTTCGTGGTTCGTTCTCTTATCCTTTAGTCAGGCATTGTGTTCTGCGAAGCTCCATTTTAATTTGGTAGCATGTTCTCCTGCATGTTTTTTGTCTATGTCTCACCCGAGCATTGATCTGTCCATCGTTTTTTGTGCTTTTACTATTTTATCCCTATTAGACATGGTGAGTGTCCACGTCTGTGAACCATATAGAGGATACACTGATCGTAAATTCTGATTTTCAAATATTGTTCTATTTTAGTGCTTTTCAAGATTCAACTCAGTTTTCCAAATCCTGCCCACACTAACTTTATTCTTCTAGTAATTTCAGCAGTTTGATTGACTTTATTAACTTTCATTATCTGTCCCACGTAGTATGTATACGCTTACTGTTTCTAAATTTATGTCGTTATTACTCTAATATTCGGTGTATTTGTCATTATTTTTGTTTTTTCCAAGTTCATCTTAAGACCTACTTTTTCCGAAGCTTGAAATAGTTGCGTCATCATGGTCTGCAGTTCTTCGAAACTTGTAGCGAATATTACAATGTCATCAGCGTATCTTAAATGACTCAGTTTTCTTCCATTAACATTTATTCCTTTCTCTGCCCAGTTAATGTCTTTGAACACGTCTTCCAGTCCAAGTGTGAATAGCTTTGGTGAGATAACATCTACCTGGCGAACTCCTCTGTTGATTGGTATAGCTTTGGTTTTCGCATCTATTTGTATTTTCCTTGTAGCTTTATTATAAATATTATGTATGAGCATTCTGTATCGGGAGGCTATCCTGCAGTTTTTCATAGCTCTCTCTATTGCCCAAAGTTTTATGGAGTCGAATGGCTTTTTATAATCAACGAAGCCAATGTATAAGTTCAAGTGATATTCCTTGGCTTTCTCTATTAGGGTTCTGACTGTAAGAAGATGATCCGGTGTACTATAAACCTTTCTGAATCCTACCTGCTCTACCGGTTAATAGCTATCGAGCTTCGACGTTAACCTGTTAGTTATTACTCTCATTAATAGTTTGTACATTTGGGACAGCAGGGAGATCGGCCTATAGTTCTTCAGATCTCCCCTGTCTCCATTTTTGAAGAGAAGTATTGTCAAACTTTCATTCCAATCATCTGGGACTTCTCCTCTGTGAAGTCATTCGTTAAAATTTTTTTCAATTCTTCGAGAATAATTTCACTCCCCTCCTTTAACATTTCGACAAGTATTTCCTCTGGGCCCGAAGCCTTATTGTTCTTTAGGTGGACCATAACTTGTTTATTTCGAAGGAATCTATGTTAGGGAGTATTTCTGAGTTAACATTCGTTATCTTTTTCTTAAGATCTTCCTTTGCAATTCTATCTGGGTTCTTGTTTGAGGAATATAAATCACGGTAAAATGTTTGAGTAACTTTTAGGATTTCGTTCTTTTCTCTTATTTCTTTTCCATCTTTATCCTTCAATGAGATTATTATAGGCTTTTCTAAGTTTCTTCCTAAGCATTTCAGGCCTCGGTTTTTTCTATTATTTTTTCTACCTTGTTCTCATTGTAGATCCTTAAATTTTCCTTTACTCCCTTCTATATTTGTTTATTCAATTTTTTTAAACCATTGGTGTTTCGCTTACCTTCGCTTAGAAATGTGCGTCTCTTTTCCATCAACCGTTTTGTTCCATCACTTATTCGGTCTTCCATATATTTCATTTTCTTTGCAACAGCAAGTCCTGTTTTCAAGAGCTTTCGTTGCATTTCCTTATTAATTGTGTTCATGTCGGAATAGTCTTGTTGATAATGTTCAACAAATTCTTTTCTTAAGACTTCTCTGTACTCATCTCCCTTCTATCGTATTTTAGTTTGATCTATCTGATTACAATAGTTATGTGGCCTATGTCTACTGGTTTTCGTCTGTTTAATAAGAATCATTGCTCTTATGAGGCGATGATCGCTGCCAGTTTTGAATCGATTACTTACTTACTTCCTCCGTGGCGTTACAACCCTTCGTGGGTTTTAGCCGACTCGACAACATGCCTTCACTGTTTTCTGTCTGAAACAACCTCCATCCGATTCTCCACGCCCATAGTGCTTAGGTCTTCTGCTATATTATCTTGCCACCAGAGAAGAGGGCGTCCGCGTGGTCTCCTTTCAGTTGAGACTTCCTCCAACACCAATCTTACTGTTCATTCGTCAGAATGTCTTCTGAGGTGTCCTGCCCATTGGAGTCTTCTAGACTTTATTTCTTTTATGATGTTGGCGTCTGGGTAAAGTTCTTCGAGCTCTTTGTTAGTTCTTATCCTACATTGTCCTCATGCTTCATCCAGCACAGGACCAAAGATCTTCCTCAGGATTTTTCTTTCCCAAACACATAGTCTCTCGTCGTTTGCCTTTGTTATCGTCCACGTTTCGCTTCCATACATCACAACGGGTCGTATGATTGTTTTATAGACCTGTATCTTCGTACGTCTTGTTAGTTGTCTCGATTTTTATAAGATTTTGGAGGGCAAAGGACATCTGTTGCCGACCTGAATCCTGTTGTTTATTTCTTATGATCCGTTATTGTCTTCAGTTATTGTTGTTCCAAGATACTTGAATTCTTTAACGCGCTCAAAGTTAAAGTCATCGATGGTGATGTTATGACCGATTCTGTCTCTGCTTTGGTTATTGCGGCTCATATACATATATATCGTCTTGTTTTCGTTGATTTGGAGCCCCATCTTCTCTGCTTTCTTCTCAAACCTCACGAAAGTCTCCTTCATCTGTAATCGTGTGTTTCCTATTAGATCAATATCGTCTGTAAATGCTAGTACTAAGTTTGGTCCTTCTCGATGAAATACTGTATTCGGTTTTTCGATTCTTGCACTTCTGATTATGTGCTCCAGAGCCAAGTTGAAGAGTTGTGGTGAAAGTACATCTCCCTGTTTTAGTCCATTGTGAATCGATTGAGAGCAGCTTTATCTTCAAAAATGTCTTTGTTCCCACACAATAAGTAATCGATCTCGTCTTTCGTCTTTTTATCGGGAGATATCCATGTCCATTTTCGGTTTACTCTTTTCTTGAAGTATGTGTTCATGGCATATAAATTTTGTTCTTCTATGAAGTTATATAATTGTTCTCCTCTTTCATTTCGTGTGCCATAACCTTCTTCTTCTTCTTCTTCAGCCTTCATTTATCCAATGTTGGACATAGGCCTCCACCAATTGCTTCCACGCTTCCCTATTGAAACGAATGTAATGTGTGAATTGACAAAGTTCAGAAGAACTGAAAGAGAAGTGATGGAAAAAAAAAATACTAAAAATAGGGCTAAGCTCAGAGGAACAAATTTAAATGGCCAAAGAGACACTAAATCTCAAGTGAGTGTTCGGGCTAGCTTCAATGCACTGGATTGTGGCTTTAAAGATTTAAACATGTAACGACTATTTTGCTTACCACAGGGTAAGAATATGGGGGACAAGATTGAGCAAACAAAATAATCGAAACAAGTGCATACGGACACTCAGTTGGTTGTTGGAGAGCTGGGTCGTGGATAAGTTGAAGATATTGGGGGTTAGATTGGGGCAACTACAAAGAAAAGAAATAAAGGGGTACTTATACAAATCTCTTGGGACAAACAGAATGAAAATAAACGAAAACACCTCAAGAAATTTAATATAGGGCGCCACTTGAGGTGCCCAATTATACCTATTACAACCACTAGTTGTAACTAGGGAAATAATTGTATAACATAAAAAATATAGAAAAAAATATCTTTTTCAAATAAAACTCAAAATAGATCAGAGAAACAAATTAAACATTTATTTTGTCTCAAACAAAACAGATCAAAAATACATATTATAAAAGAAACATATATAACATAATACAAATAACAAAAACTTACATGTTCTTTGTTTACTATATTATGGCCAATTAGATTATCAAAAATTAAGGATCCTTCTTAATGAAAACATATAAATTTAACCTTATATATGAAATATCGTTTCTACATAATTATCAAATTAAAATTGTCATAACAAAAAAAACAAATTAAACTTGCTGTCAGGTATCACATTTAATTTTGATGACAAAGAATGAAAGCAATTATTACTTTAGCCAAAAAATATCTGTCTTTACTTTGAAAATTAATATATTGAATTGTTACCTTAAAATTTACATATTTCGTCACTCAACTTAAAAAAAAAACTTGTTACATCTCTGACTGGAAGCTACTTGTACAAATCCTCTAACTGGGACATAGGAAACATTTCTATACTCAGGAACGAGGTTGGGGCAAACAGATGACACACGAAGCTGGTGGCACACCCTATGTACTGCTTTAAAATTTTACCATGTTCTGGTATACTGCATAAATCCTTTTAGTGGTTTCTCTATGCAATCCGTCATGTTTACGGAGAGTCCACTGTTTACAGGTCTGATTAATTAACCCATTACACAAAATTACCGGCTGTTTATGAAAAATGCCCAAGTCCTTTCAACTCGAGCTGCCTTACATCACCTGCCTACCTCGTTGCTCTTTTTAATCTCGTCGACTTCTTATCACATGTCTGCCCCGCTTGGAATCTAAATCTCGACTCCCCTTGTCACAT